TATTGTTATCCATACTGCGACTTATTAGTTGTACAGCAGTGTGATGCTAGTATTGTTATCCATACTGCGACTTATTAGTTGTACAGCAGTGTGATGCTAGTATTGTTATCCATACTGCGACTTATTAGTTGTACAGCAGTGTGATGCTAGTATTGTTATCCATACTGCGACTTATTGGTTGTACAGCAGTGTGATGCTAGTATTGTTATCCATACTGCGACTTATTAGTTGTACAGCAGTGTGATGCTAGTATTGTTATCCATACTGCGACTTATTAGTTGTACAGCAGTGTGATGCTAGTATTGTTATCCATACTGCGACTTATTAGTTGTACAGCAGTGTGATGCTAGTATTGTTATCCATACTGCGACTTATTAGTTGTACAGCAGTGTGATGCTAGTATTGTTATCCATACTGCGACTTATTAGTTGTACAGCAGTGTGATGCTAGTATTGTTATCCATACTGCGACTTATTAGTTGTACAGCAGTGTGATGCTAGTATTGTTATCCATACTGCGACTTATTAGTTGTACAGCAGTGTGATGCTAGTATTGTTATCCATACTGCGACTTATTAGTTGTACAGCAGTGTGATGCTAGTATTGTTATCCATACTGCGACTTATTAGTTGTACAGCAGTGTGATGCTAGTATTGTTATCCATACTGCGACTTATTAGTTGTACAGCAGTGTGATGCTAGTATTGTTATCCATACTGCGACTTATTAGTTGTACAGCAGTGTGATGCTAGTATTGTTATCCATACTGCGACTTATTAGTTGTACAGCAGTGTGATGCTAGTATTGTTATCCATACTGCGACTTATTAGTTGTACAGCAGTGTGATGCTAGTATTGTTATCCATACTGCGACTTATTAGTTGTACAGCAGTGTGATGCTAGTATTGTTATCCATACTGCGACTTATTAGTTGTACAGCAGTGTGATGCTAGTATTGTTATCCATACTGCGACTTATTAGTTGTACAGCAGTGTGATGCTAGTATTGTTATCCATACTGCGACTTATTAGTTGTACAGCAGTGTGATGCTAGTATTGTTATCCATACTGCGACTTATTAGTTGTACAGCAGTGTGATGCTAGTATTGTTATCCATACTGCGACTTATTAGTTGTACAGCAGTGTGATGCTAGTATTGTTATCCATACTGCGACTTATTAGTACTAGTTCGTATGGTGATGGTATTGTTATCCATACTGCGACTCTTTATTACTGCAACAGTATTGCACTTGCGTTGTTACGCACACATAGATGAATCAGTATTACCAAGGGATAGGCGCAAGTACTGGAATCCATATTTCGGGTAGGTGGTACTTCAGAAGTAGTACGCACGGATTTTAATTCACATGTTTGAATGGACGAGTTGAAGGGTAAATCAGCGAGTAAGTGTGGAATGGCTGAGTACGTGTGTGAATGGACGAGTATTTGTGTAAATAGGCGAGTAAGTGTGGATGGGTGTCTGAATGGACGAGTAGGTGTGTAAATAGGCGAGTAAGTGTCTGGATGGGCGAGGGTGAATGGACGAGTAGGTGTTTAAATAGGCGAGTAGGTGTGTGGATGATTCTAAGTGGACGGACGAGTAGGTGTGTAAATAGGCGAGTAAGTGTGGATGGGTTAGTAAGTGTCTGAATGGACGAGTAAGTGTGTGAAATAGGCGAGTAAGTGTCTGAATGGACGAGTAGGTGTGGATGGACGAGTAAGTGTCTGAATGGACGAGTAAGTGTCTGAATGGACGAGTAAGTGTGAGACTGAGAGGGTAACTGTGTGAATGGACGAGTAAGTGTGGATGGGCGAGTAAGTGTCTGAATGGACGAGTAAATGTGAGTCTGAGATGGTAACTGTGTGAATGGACGAGTAAGTGTGGATGGGCGAGTAAGTGTCTGAATGGACGAGTAGGTGTGAGACTGAGATGGTAACTGTGTGAATGGACGAGTAAGTGTGAGACTGAGATGGTAACAGGGTGAATGGACGCGTAAGTGTGGATGGGCGAGTAAGTGTCTAAATGGGCGAGTAAGTGTGAGACTGAGAGGGTAACTGTGTGAATGGACGAGTAAGTGTGGATGGACGAGTAAGTGTCTGAATGGACGAGTAAGTGTATAATGGAGAGGGATAACTATAACAAATCGACACTTCCCTTCCAATGGGCGAGATTCTAGATTGTCTAATAAGTGTCTGAATGTATGATTTGACACCAAGATCGTTCAAATCGGCGTGAAAAGGCGGGTATGTGGGTAGATTAGCGTTTATAGATTACGGTTATTCATTGGTGGCAGTGTGAATACTCGTCCACACTCTGAGCAAACCAGGATACGAAACTTAAAGTCTGTGGAATCCTTCCCTGATTCCCAAACCAGAAAATTGTGCCATTGTGCACAACTGTCCTACACCTAAAGCTGAATACCATTGTGTCAACCTCGGAAGGACCCGAGAAATGTTCAAGATATCCTCACCGATATTCAAAATACAAAAACAAAATTCCCTTCGTGAACTACCGTACAGCAGACCACGGTGTGGAAGAGAAAGATGTTTAAGACAAAGTCGTTTGTATCTCAGTATTCTCAGCATCAAATCCATAGAGTGAGTGAGTGAGCGTGATTTTACACTGCTTTTACCAATATTCCAGCTTCACAGTGACGGATACCGACAACGGGCTTCAAGCATTGTATCCGTGTGGAGAATCGAACGACGTGACAAGCGAACGCCTTAACCACTAGGCTACCCAACCGCCCCAGTGTATAGTAGCTTGTGTTAATCAAGCAATATAATTGCCAACACTTGCAGTTGTCATTTCGGATTAAAACGTAAACTCGAAAAGAATGTAAGATCAACACATCCGATTCAACTTCACCGTTTTGAAATGAAGATTAAAAAAATAATTCCCATATAAACTCGCAAAACACAACTGGGAATTCGACACATCAGAGCTTGGGACAAAGGTTTAATACACTCTCGAACCAATTGGTCCTGGAAAATGTCGAAGCAGCACCTGTCAATATCACGAACTTTTAAAAAAAAAATAATTCGAAAACCGTCAAGATTACATAATCATGGTGGGCAATGTCATAACAATCATGGTAACACGTACGTTGGGCTTTGTTGCAACATATTACATCTCACATTAGCCCCTTTCACTGACTGAACATGTGATGTGATTACTGTCAGCACCATCAACAGTCATTCCTGACAAAAGATGCATGTTCAAAGCACCTGGCTTATTACCGAAACTCCTCCGCAATATACAGCAATCTCGGCTCACTTGGGTCTGCATATGGGTCATTGCGCTTCTGACGTAGGCTTTTTAATTTAGATTCCACGTTGTGATTTATGCTTTTGCGGGAGGGAAGCGTACCTGTCACTGGGCACTTTAGGCACATGCATACACTTATTTCTTCTCGGTATTCTTTTACATGTGGTATGTTATGGATGTATTTGTTTAGAGTAGTCTCCCTTTCTATGGAAGGTGGATAACTCTGGTGCTACTTTGATGCCAACAGAGCGTCCAGCACTTCAATGACAATTGACAAGTATTTTTAAGATCTCATCTGTGAAAGATGATACCAATGAGCTTGCTCCTCAGCCAGAGGAAAAGGAAATATCCGTTCCAGAGTCCCATGCACCACTATATTTAGATCCGATCAATTTCAACTTCATTTCTCCGACCCTGGTGATAACTCTGCCTCATTCCTTCATTTATGTATTTAGTTAGAGTACATGAGACCTTTCTGTCGCTTGTCTCTCGTATCCTATCGTCTAATTATGAGTCAGATTTCAACATCTACACCACGTGATGCGTATTGATACATCCTTACACTAGTCTGTTAACTGCAATCTTCTTCCGCATAAAGCTCCTACAAAATAGCGATTTTCCTTTAAGCGAGCTATTAAATACAACAATACCACTTTCAACATTTACACCAGGGTCACATCTTATGCTCAACTGTGTCACATGACAATCACGTGATTGTAACTATATCCAATATGGATTCTTCGAGATGACCAAGATACAACTGAGTCGAACAAACTTCGGTTAGATGATTACACGGTTAGATAGATAGAGAATGCCCTGAAAGTATCATTTTTAACACAGATCCTAGAGCTAAATTGAACGTGCTGCACTACAGAATGACAAAACAAATTACCGCTTCACAGCCTGATGACCGATGTGCCACTAAATCGCTGCCTCAGTTCAGCAAAACATTTAATACCGATGACTTCCGATAAATTTAGGTTTCGATTATTACACGCAGTTAACTGCGAATGGTCTTCAGTCGATTACAACAGACACCACCAATCAATAACACATCTGACCTTGCTTTTTTATTTCCTTAACGTATAATCATTTTACATTCAGAGAATCTTTATCCATTAGTACAGCCTACTGGAGCACACACACAGAGCTCGTACTTTGAAACAGTGGATTAGCTTTCTGGGTAATCGAGCGGTAATGTTTCATATACATCATTGATTTCGTTTTATTAACCATTGATTTTGTGATATAACATCCATCTGCTTCTTCATTAGGGACTAATTGTTAGCCCTCTCCATAACAAACCCATGAACGCCGGTACCTTTACAATTCTAGCTGTTAAACTAATGTCTTAATGCGTAGCTCCCGCGGTTATCTCCCTTGAAACAACGAAAACGTTAAAATGTCTGTTTTTCAAGTTTCGTAGGGGTCGCTATGTCAACGTTAAGTTATAAACTCGATGTTGAAAATGGTCCTTGCAGTTTGTATTCAAACATAAAAACGCACCTTATAATATTATTTTGACTTAATTTACTCTTTCAAAACTATCACACAAATTTGTATCACAGTGATAATGCATTCAGATATATTTCACAACTTATTGTTTGTTTATTATTGTATATTAAAATATGGTGGTATTATGCCCATGATTTTCAAAAGTCTCGTATTTGTGTTGACGTAACAAGTGTCATATTTTGTAAGAAGGGTCTTCTGAAAATAGTAATATAACACTGATAGAATAAATAGTATCCATGTTTTAATCCAGAGAACACATTGCAAATTTCCACTCCTCAACTCTGTGCCTGTTTGCAGTTCAGAGCTGCTACCTCGGGTCACGTGGACCTATCTTAGGTAACGTCATAAAGCCTCGCTTTCGTCTCGCTTATAAAAGTTACTGACATCACTAAGTCCTCGCTTATAGAAACCACTCACGTCGTCACGTGATCGTTTGTCAGCCTCGTTTTCAAGTTCGTTGTCTTCTCTGACGTCCGTGTCCCGTTTGTAGAAGCTGCTAAGATCTTCGTTTGACCTCTTGTAGAACCGACTGAGGCCATTTGCCATCCTCTTGTAGAATGAGCTTAGTTCTGCCGGGCTTCGCTTGTAGAATCCGCTGACGTCATTAAGGCCACGTTTGTAGAAACCAGATAATTCGTCACGTGCTCTCTTGTAAAAACTGCTGAGGTGGCTGTCGTCCCCGCTGCGCTTGTAGAAGCCCATTAAATCGTTTCTTGCGCGTTTGTAGAAGCTGCTCAGGTCATCACCACTTCTTTTGTAGAAACTGCTCATGTTGTTGTCGAGACCCCTTTTGTAGAAGCTGTTCACGTCGCTTCGTCCTCGCTTGTAGAAGCTGCTTATTCCGTCATTAACACTTCGCTTGTAGAAGCTATTGAGGCCTTCATTGAGTCCCCGTTTATAGAATCCACTCACGTCATCTCGTGCTCTCTTGTAGAAATTGCTCAGTCCGTCTCCACGTGAACGCTTGTAGAAGGAGCTGCTATCCTGAAACCCACGCTTATAGAAACTGCTGAGGTCACTTCCGGGGGCACGCTTATAGAAACTGCTGAGATCACCTCCCGGGGAGCGTTTGTAGAAGCTACTAAGATCGTTTTCAGGAGACCGCTTATAGAAGCTGCTGACATGATCCTTGCCACGTTTGTAAAAGCTGCTCATTCCATTATCCTGTCCGCGCTTATAGAAACTGTTGAGGTCACCTCCAGGGGCACGCTTATAGAAACTGCTGAGGTCACTTTCTGGAGCACGCTTATAGAAACTGCTGAGATCACTTCCTGGAGCACGCTTATAGAAACTGCTGAGGTCACTTCCTGGAGCACGCTTATAGAAACTGCTGAGGTCACCTCCAGGGGCACGCTTATAGAAACTGCTGAGGTCACCTCCTGGGGCACGCTTATAAAAACTACTGAGGTCACCTCCAGGGGCACGCTTATAGAAACTGCTGAGTTCACTTCCTGGAGCACGCTTATAGAAACTGCTGAGGTCACCTCCAGGGGCACGCTTATAGAAACTGCTGAGGTCCCCTCCTGGGGCACGCTTATAAAACTGCTGAGGTCACCTCCTGGGGCACGCTTATAGAAACTGCTGAGGTCCCCTCCAGGGGCCCGCTTATAGAAACTGCTGAGGTCACCTCCAGGGGCACGCTTATAGAAACTGCTGAGGTCACCTCCTGGGGCACGCTTATAGAAACTGCTGACGTCACCTCCAGGGGCACGCTTATAGAAACTGCTGAGGTCACCTCCAGGGGCACGCTTATAGAAACTGCTGAGGTCTCCCTCAGGGGCACGCTTATAGAAACTGCTTACGTCCCCGCCGGGAGCACGCTTGTAGAAACTGCTGGTGTCACCATCGACACCTCTTTTGTAGAAACTGCTCATTCCTTCATTTATTCCTCGCTTGTAGAAGCCACTGAGGTCATCGCGACTCCGCTTGTAAAAGCTGCTTTGGCCATCACCCCGAGCTCGCTTATAGAAACTGCTTACATGGTCCAAATCCCGTTTGTAGAAATTGCTCACATGTCGCATGGGGTCTCGTTTGTAGAAGCTGCTCATCCCGTTTTCTCTCGCTCGCTTATAGAAGCTACTCATTCCACGGTCCCTCTTATAGAAGCTGCTCATGCCGTTATTTTGGCCTCGCTTGTAGAAGCTGTTCATGCCACTGTGGATCGCTCGCTTGTAGAAGCTGCTTAGGCCATGGTCAAGTCCTCGTTTGTAGTCTCTCATTTCAGTCGCGTCAGGCTCGCCTTCCGGCAGTGGAACATCACCTGCAGAACACAGAACACATTTGCTATTGTGTCATCCTTATAAGCTACAAAGACATCCCCAAACCATAAGAAAATTACAACAGATTCTTTGATATTAGATTTGCGGTTAAGTTCTTTCAGTAGCATTCAGAAGTTGTGATGAACAACGGGGAGAGTTCTATGGAAATGCAACTGTTTATCATTTATATGAGCGACGTACGTTTCGATGTAGCTATTAACAACTTGCTTGATAGCGGTGTTAGTAGCTACACATAAACGTCGCTCATGAATTAATGATAAAGTAGATGTATATCCATAGAACTCTCCCCGTTGTAAATTTGCGATTATTCTCATGACTGCCTTAGGGTTGGGAGAGCAATGGTGACAGAATATCGCAAGTTACAAGGAAAGGGCAGAAACCTGTCGTCATTGGAGACAAACAGATTGATCGTACATTAAATCAATCGCCAAATCTTTTGAAAAGCGGCGAGTCACCGATCTGTGATGTCCGGTACTTTTCCAATCAAGGTCAGATACAGTTTTAACGAATTAAAACAAGGTATGGGAACATGTGACAAAGATCTGACACAATGCTATCACAACGCTATCGCAGTACAACTGGACACTGCCTCAGTATTATCCTAACACTCTCGTATTACCATCACGACACTATCTCAGTATCAAGGCATTATCTTTGCACAACACCGTACCGGGTCTATGAAGACACAATCACAGTACTATCTCGACACTGCCTCAGTATTATCCTAACACTCTCGTATTACCATCACGACACTATCTCAGTATCAAGGCATTATCTTTGCACAACACCGTACCGGGTCTATAAAGATACAATCACAGTACTATCTCGACACTGCCTCAGTATTATCCTAACACTCTCGTATTACCATCACGACACTATCTCAGTATCAAGGCATTATCTTTGCACAACACCGTACCGGGTCTATGAAGACACAATCACAGTGCTATCTCGACACTGCCTCAGTATTATCCTAACACTCTCGTATTACCATCACGACACTATCTCAGTATCAAGGCATTATCTTTGCACAACACCGTACCGGGTCTATAAAGATACAATCACAGTACTATCTCGACACTGCCTCAGTATTATCCTAACACTCTCGTATTACCATCACGACACTATCTCAGTATCAAGGCATTATCTTTGCACAACACTGTACCAGGTCTATGAAGACACAATCACAGTACTATCTCGACACTGCCTCAGTACTATCCTAACACTCTCGTATTACCATCACGACACTATCTCAGTATCAAGGCATTATCTTTGCACAACACCGTACCGGCTCTATGAAGACACAATCACAGTACTATCTCGACACTGCCTCAGTAATATCCTAACACTCTCGTATTACCATCACGACAGTATGCAGTTTTAACGAATTAAAACAAGGTATGGGAACATGTGACAAAGATCTGACACAATACTATCACAACGCTATCGCAGTACTATCTCGACACTGCCTCAGTATTATCCTAACACTCTCGTATTACCATCACGACAGTATGCAGTTTTAACGAATTAAAACAAAGTATGGGAACATGTGACAAAGATCTGACACAATACTATCACAACGCTATCGCAGTACTATCTCGACACTGCCTCAGTATTATCCTAACACTCTCGTATTACCATCATGACACTATCTCAGTATCAAGGCATTATCTTTGCACAACACCGTACCGGGTCTATGAAGACACAATCAGTATCAAGGCATTATCTTTGCAGAATCATCCTTGCACCAACCTTGACCAGCAAGGTACACTTTCTTTTGTGAAGCACTGTACCCATGTGTTCTTTATTGCCTTCATCTCGTGTTACCGAGCCTTATAAGAGAATCGCAGTTAAACGTTAATGAAGCTGGCTGCGGTGACGGACCATGATAATAACAAGATACGTCTCCCCCCTACTGATGGACGTGGACATCTACTACCTCACATTTGGCACCATCGGGAGATCGTCTGTGTCACGACTCACTCTTGTGTAATGGCCACTCAAACAAATCAGATGGCCCCAATGCATCTCATGTCTGGAAGTGAATGAGTATGCTTTTACGCCGCTTTTAGCAATATTCCAGCAATATCACGACGGGGGACGCCAGAAATGGGCTTCACACATCGTACCCATGTAGGGAATCGAACCTGGGTCTTCAGCGTGACGAGCGAACGCTTGAACCACTAGGCTACTCCACCTCCCCTTAGGATTTGTGAACTTGAACTTAATGTGTTACACGAGTCATTTGGATGCCACGGGTTTGCTTCCATGGCGCTCATGATATTCTGTTCCTACTGTCAAGCTCATATTGTTCCCAGACCATACACATGTTACCGTATCAAGACATATTATCGCATTTTCAGCAACCCATGCTTATCGTAAGATGCGACTAACGGGATTGGGTGGTGAGGATCCCTGACTTGGTTGACACACGTCATCGTATCCCAATTGCGTAGATCGATGCTCATGCTGTCAATCACTGGATTAGCTGGTACGGACTATTATTTACAGATACAGCTGTGCTATTCCTGAGTGTGGCGTAAAACAACAGACAAACAAAACTTACTGTCGCACATCCGCGCATGCACGCCGACCTCGCCTTTGTCGACGCCAAAGTTCTCGTAGTCGACCAACACGTAAGCCTCGCCTTGTAGAATACCAGACGTACAATGGCACTGGATCTGTAGAGAAGAACAATTGATAATGGCGTTACGCAGGTGCCAGTTTGAAAGGAGGACCATTATTTTCGTAATGACATTCACAAATTTTGATTTATGGATTTTTAGGTGTGTTTTATAAGCAACAACTTTGGCAAACAATTTTTATTGATTAGCCATAATTTGATTTTGTCAGCATACACCAAATGGGATTCTCTAATTTTGTTGTATTAATTTATTATAACAAAACATTTCGAAAGATGGTTTTATCGAAGTAAAACATACAGAAAACGTCTTGAAACATTATAAATTATGCATCGTGAATTTAACTAAAGATAATTTATCTATTAAGGTTTTTAATGGGGAGACTTTTAAGATAACGATCATTTGCACTGACGTTTAAAGAAAACGCAAGCCATCTGACGATGCCCTCGAACATTGCGGCAAATATTACCGACAAAGGTCTCTGGCGATGCTTTTGCTCGTATATATTGAGAATATCTCTGGCTATTTACCAATTTGAGCGAGTGAGGCAGTGAGTGGAGTTTCAGCTTTTCCACGGTGTGTTAGCTTGATGTGGAAAGAATATTGAAATATACGATTTGGCGCACGGACACTCCATAAACCAAACAAACCCAGAAAAAAACATTTAGGAGAACCTGGGATTCGAACCCACAACCAGTTTAACCAAAGATGCCCACGATAAACAAGTTAGCATATTTTGTGGATTTGTGGAAGGCAAGAAAGTATTTCTTTGTGTTGGTGACACACACGACTGTAACTTCCAGCGGGCGGTAGGGCAGCCTAGGGGTTACAGCGTTCGCTCATTATACCGAAGACCCGAGTTCGATTCCTCACATGGGTACACTTTGGAGAGCATATTTCTGGAGTTCCCCGCCGTGATATTGCTGGAATATTGCTGGAATATTGCTGAATGCGGTGTATAAAACTCACTCCATACTTCCAGACAGATCAGTGTGTGGGGGATCAGGGTGCCGTTGTACAAAGGAATCTCTGCGCTAAGGTGATCGTAACTGCCATACCTTAACATAGACTTACGACTGGCGTAGCGCCAAGGCTGCTTAGTACAACCGCACCCTGACCTGTACGTAGTATTAGGAATCGTTTTCGATGGTTACGCAGCCATATTTAACAAGATGGTTGGGCTAGTAAACCTATGAGACGGTGGGATGGGGCAGTTGTTAATGCGTTCGTTCGTCACGCCAAAGACCTGGGTTCGATTACCTACATGGGTACAGTGTGTGAATCCCAATTCTGGTTTCCCCGCCGTGATATTAATTTGCCGGAATAGTGCTAAAAGCGGCGTAAAACCCAACTCACTCACTCGTCCTAAGCCGACTACCCACATAGGTACAATGTGTGAAGCCATGATATTCCTGGTCAACCATAAGCAGAACGAGATTGAGGAATATTTGCATGTACGTAAATTCTCTCATTATCCCCGAGTCTTGTCTACATTTCCCAAGAGCAACGATGTTCATTAAGGGAAGATTTATTTCCTTTCGGGGGACATCACGTCTTACAGCTCCTTACACTTCCAAGGCTGCGTTCGGACACGCGTTGACCTGGAGCTTGAAAGCGACAGCAGCACGTTCGAACTGATCAGAGGTTCGCCCTTGCGCGAATAGTATACTCTAACACTGTTTCAGCTGCCTGTTCCATTAATTTAATGTCCAAAATCTACATACTGTCTTAAAGAAATATCTCCGAAAAATACAAAAATTGCGGTCATAATAATATTTATATATAACAGTAAACATTGTCAAAGACACAAGTCTCCAATTAAGATGATTAAACTGCTCTTTGCAAGAACCTTTAACCTTGGTTCGAAACAAGGGTTTCTGAAAAGTCTTCAGAGATATGAAAAAACACTTGTAATATACAAACTAATATCAAACTTTCAGTTTTTGGCACATTGTTATTTTGAAGCTAATGAATAGCTTAACCAAGAGGTCTAGCACGCCATCAGAACATTCACGAATATCAGGAAAGAATGATCCATTGTGAATTGAAGCCTGAAGGTTGCATCTCCGAAGGCGTTTATTATGTCGGTGAAGTTTTTGCTGTCACTGGGATCGGAAAACGTTAAGTGTCTCTTAAATGATGGCGATTTGGTGCGGATAAAACACTTCAATATAAAACTGTTTGTAGGCCGACATTAATTCATTCTGTTCTCTGGCCCGTGACTGTTGGTCGAACCCAACTCACTCACTCACTCACTCAACCGTGTCAGAATTTCATCTTTCTGCACTTATACTTATCATAGAGTTTTATAAAGATCCTTCACCTAATCTGTCTCTCGGATTCATGTTGCGTCATATTTTCTCGTCCGCTTTCTCACATCGTTTCATCATATACTGAGTTTTTTGTCAGCGGGATTTTTCTCATTGTATCGTGTTTTCGTCTGATATGCCTTGTCATAGCACATCTTTCTGCCAAAACCACTTATCATGTGGCGTCTTTCTGCCAATACCACTTATCATGTGGCGTCTTTCTGCCAATACTAATTAACATGTTGCGTCTTCCTCCAATACCAATTATCATGTGACGTCATTCTGCCAATATCACTTACCATGTGGCTACTTTCTGCCAATACTAATTATCATGTGGCGTCTTTCTTCCAATACCACTTATCATGTGGCGTCTTTCTGCCAATACCACTTATCATGTTGCGTCTTTCTGCCAATACTAATTAACATGTTGCGTCTTCCTCCAATACCAATTATCATGTGACGTCATTCTGCCAATATCACTTACCATGTGGCTACTTTCTGCCAATACCATTTACCATGTGGCGTCTTTCTGCCAATAACTTTACATGTGGCGTCTTTCTGCCAAAATGACCTTTCATGTGGCGTCTTTCTGCCAACACGACTGCTTAAACGACTGTTTCTAACACAACTTATGCGACGTGTTTCTTCCAATTCAACATCTCATACGACCCCTTTCTTAAAATACTTTTTCGCGTTTTTCTTCCAACATGACCTATCTTTATTTTCTATTCTGGTGAGACTCACACCAGTTGCTTGCCGACATTTTCTCTCGTTGGATCAATTTATCCCCCAGGGAATAAGTCTTTCTGATAGATATATCATTGAGGGAGGAGTGGTCCCTCTATGTGAATCTCTCCACTGAGAGGGTCAACTGCCTATGGGTTCAAATCCTCCCTTCCGCTTGGGTCTCACTAAAAAGGCCAACGTCTATCACCTTTGCTGTATTGGAGTTTCTCCCACATCTAACTGACGTGCTGTGATACATGATCGAACTACTATTTGAAGGGGTACGAAAGCCTAAATTACTCACTCAATCTGTCCTGACTCTTTTATCACTAAATGTGTTTTCTATAAATATGTTGCTTTTCTAAGGCCCGTGCGTCTGTGTCTTGATGAGTGCGTGGAGGGACTTTATTAACGCGACGGCAGCAACAGCCGTGAGAGGCTATTTATCTGTCTTGCAAGGTTTGTAGGTGTCGAGGAACCTATAGTTTTAGCAAGGTCAACGGAGACGGTATATTTATCGCTTTAGGGTGGGATAATCGATAGGCTGATTGCAGTACCTATTGTGCCTTTGTCGAGAGATTTGAAACTAACATTTGCATTTCGCCAGTGAGAACTCTTTGTCCGGGACCATCATGTCGATCATTGCAATCTACTAATACCAGAATACCGTGATACCAACGAAAATATATTACAAACCCACATTAAGCATCAAACCTGAATATGGTTTGATATGTAATCGGGTTTAATTTAAGCGCCAATAGGTACTCAATTGACCCTCTTTTGGCAAAATGTCAGCGTTAAGTTCTTGGTCTTTAGAATAGCTTAAAACAATCATTCGACCGTGTGAAATCTCTACTGATGGAGATAACAATCTTCGTATTTTTTAGGTAAATTGCACGTGTTCTTGTGGTTGAAAGCATTACGCGGGTACAATGTGTTAAGCCCATTTCTGGTGTCCCCGCTATAATATTGATGACCAGCGGTGTAAAACTAATCGATTCCCACTATTTCACATGGGTACAATGTGTTGATAGCTGGAATACTGCCATCTCTGGTGCCCCAACACGGGACGAGGCTTGGGATAATATTGCTGGAATACTGCTGAAAGCGGTGTAAAACTAATCTCACTCTCTCACTCACTATTTCATTAACATCACGGGACGAGGCTTGGAATGATAGTGATACGGTGATATTGCTGGAATATTGCTGAAAGCGGCGTAAGACTAAACTCACTCACTCACTCACTATTACTTAACATCCAATATGCTAGATTTACCTCCATGCTGACAGCGGTAACATATCCTATCTTTGGGATTACACTTTCTCACTAAGGTTGAGATTTTAGTACTATTTGGGTTCAGTCCCGAATGCATTCGAGTCCCCACTCGAGGGAGGCACCTTATCTGATACTGTGGTTCGAATCCCGGGTGGTACTGAACCCAAACGTACATTCTGTACTTCATAGAGAAAGTTCAGTGCCAACTGTAACACGTGTAACGTTTAATTAATTTACTTTCTGAATGACTTTCCGTAGTCTTACCTCTGTGTAGTTTTTCTTGTCGAAGTTCTCTGCTTCAATGACAGTACGTGACGCTACCTCGTCATCGTGACACGACGGGACATCTGACACGGGGCGACACAGGCCGTACCTGGAACAAGATGACGTCATAGTATCACAAGGAGTGGAATACATAAAGTGTATCCTTGCGTATATACAGTGCTGGTGATTTCGTCACATCTCATATCATTGGCTAACCAAATAGTTTGTTTGCCCGTGTGTTTCTATGCACGGAAAACAAGTTCGGCCACATACACCTGTAGACTAGTTTCCTGGTTATCTGAAAATAGAATGATCGAGGCTCGTGTTTCATTACTACGCTGAACGATATCACTGATTACGTGTTTGCTAATTTTGTAACGCGGATTTACACAACATGTACTTTTGTTGCGTTTAACCCTCAAACCCCTCCAATAAATACCTAAATTATTACATGAACGAACGAACGAACGAACGAACGAACAAACGAAAGAAAGAAAGAACAAAGAAACAAGCATAAATAAATAAATAAATAAAAAAATACATACATACATACATAATACATACATAATACATACATACATACATACATACATACATACATACATACATATATCAGGCGACAGTCCAATCTTTATTCTTTAAGACAGCTCTGTCGACGGCATATTTTTTACATTCACAGTATATATTTCTCTTGCTCTAAAACCTCCATTAGAGCAAGAGAAATATATTATATACTGTGCCTCTCGTCCAGTAACGAGGAGCAGGGAGGCCGGTGAATGGCCGACACCGTGGAACTGTCTTATGAGTCCGTTTCGACGCTCATACTATCAGCCACTGGTTTGGTTTGACTAGTGACAGCCGGCGTAATACGGCTTGGGTATATCTAACTAACGAGGATATGTAGCACGGTTTGGTTTCATTGTGTCCCCTCGGGTTGGATCGATGCTCAAGCTGTCGACCACTAGTTTGTCTGGTCAATATTTGATTATTCACCGCCGGTCGTCATAATCTTTTATATTAAACTGACTGCGGGGTTCATTCACTTAGTCTCTAACACGTTTCAGATCCACACACGAGCTATTGTATCCTTTAGGCGTTAGGTAATAATATCATGTAATTCTTATGTTCATTCAGCAGTAGAAGTATTCCATTGTATCGGCATTAAAATGAGTTAAGGCCTGATGGCATATGTGAGTGAGTGAGTGATAGAGTGAGTGAGTGAGTGAGTGAGTGAGTGATAGAGTGAGTGAGTGAGTGAGTGAGTGGGTGAGTGAGTGAGTGGGTGAGTGAGTGAGTGAGTGAGTGATAGAGTGAGTGGGTGGGTGAGTGAGTGATTGAGTGAGTGATTTTGGGCGAGTGAGTGAGTGAGTGAGTTAGTTTAAAATCGCCGATTTTAGCACCATTACAATAATATCATGAAGGGGGAATATTCACGATGGAATCGAACTCGGAAGGCTTCCACTCCTAAACCACCTCGTTCTCTTCAATTATAACAATTAGCTGATACTTGTTCACTTATTAAACTCAGTCTTTTAGTTTTCTGAATCCCGTCTAAAAAAATCCCTAACGTTATTCGAATTTTACGATTTGATATCCTTACAAAGTTTCCATTACGGAAATGTCTCAAAGCCTTCTACCGCACTAATGGCAGCAATTTGCCGAAAAGAACCCAACCCCGCGTAATTTAGAAAATTCGCCCATTCAATACAACATTCTGGTCAAGTAAATTTTCATTAAGATTAAATAACGAATGTTGTAACAGATTTTAATCAGTTTTTTTATTCATCATCGTACTAAATTTAATTCCAAATTGAGAGCCAAGGATGATAGCATATCCGATAAAAAAGTAATAGGATTATACACGCATCTGGCCAAGCAAGGCGAAGAAATATAACCTGTGTTCGTGCGTCCGATCGTTCACCAACCACATGGAAAGTATTAATTTAAAATAGTTTGAAAACAATCTTAAACGCGTGAAAACAATTGCTTTATAGGGGATAAAAATCAAAGAACAATAGCCGAGGGCACCGGTTTCCCCTAGCAACCAGATTATAGGTTGGAATCAAGGCGGTTCCATGGGATTGCAATATTGTTTTTAATAGGATCACTGCATGTTCACTCGCAACAGTTATCAAAGCTAATCAGCCTACAATGCTTCAAAGCAATCTTCTTTGCTCGAGGTACAGCGCTGCTGTATACGCTTTTGAAGACGTCGGTGTCGGCTTGCCGTGTAGCTGTTCAATTTAAAATTCAAACCTTCAGCGTTTTAATACAAATTTAAGTCAATTTCCGACGCACGGAGAAGCAACAAGTGCTAAGTCAGCAAGAGATTTGATGGAGTTGTCATTCTGGGGAAAAAGCTGAGAGCAGGGAGGAGGTTTGACAAGACGGCCCTAAGTCAATCATAATGTCATCTTTTGAAGGGTCGAGGTTTGATTAGGTTTGAAACATCGTGATTGCCTCGTGTTTGTTCAGAAGGTCAAGCGTTTGAGGAATGATGGCTGAATTTAAGCAATTTCCTCCCCGTATTGCCATCCAAATCATAAGAGAAAGGGATTATAAAGGAAGATTGACATTTTATGCCAGTTAAACCGATCTTATTGAAAATCTGTGTGCACAAAAAACTTGTCAGAGATGATCAGCAGCAGAGAGAATACGTACAATGAGATAAATGAGGTGGCCTTCTCGTCTCTCAGTATTATGTTCAATCCGCATTAAGTCTTATTCACGGTAGACTATTTTTTGATCATATGGTGTATGTACGGCGTATTGCTTTAATACAATGTTGCTTTCATAGAGGGGTGGACAGTTAAGACACTTAGCTGTTATCTTCAGGGAACAGAGGGCGAGAAATGGGAGTGGGGGAATTATGTAGGGTTGGTTGGTTGTTTTGTATTTTAACGCCGCACTCCTAAGTAGTGGATAAAAATAATTTTATCGGATTTAATGGCCGGGCAAACATGAGTGAGCGAGTGAGCGAGTGAGTGAGTGAGTGAGTGAGTGAGTGATACGCCGCTTTTAGCAATACTCCAGCAATATCACGGGACACCAGAAATGGGCTTCACACATTGTGCCCAGATGAGGAATCGAACCCGGGCCTTCGGCGCGACGAGCCAACGCTTTAACCACGGGGCTAATACGTTTTCTACACAGACGTTTGATATTTCTGCATCCGATGAAGGTCATGCTCAAAGGTTGATTAAATGTAATATTCAGTGACATTTGTAAACTATAACGTGAATCCCCTACGGTACTGCTACGCTACACAAGTGAGTGAGTGAGTGAGTGATACGCCGCTTTTAGCAATACTCCAGCAATATCACGGGACACCAGAAATGGGCTTCACACATTGTGCCCAGGTGGGGAATCGAACCCGGGCCTTCGGCGCGACGAGCCAACGCTTTAACCACGGGGCTACCCCACCGCCCCTGACACAAACATGACAAGCGTTATTAAAATATTATTACAACAGTAACACTTCAAACATAAGGTCGTAAACACAACTGCGAACCCCGTTTAAATTTTCACCACTGCACCATCGAATAATCATTTCATGGTTCATTTGGGGTTTCAAATAAGGGTGTACTCGTTTGTTTGCCCGGCCGTTTGTATGTTTGCTGTTAACGTCTCACTCAGAAATTTTCCAGCAATATGACGGCGGTCTGTAAATAATCGTGTCTGGACCAGACAATCCAGTGATTAACAGCATGAGCATCGATCGACTCAATTGGGATACGATGACATGTGTCAACCAAGTCAGGGAGCCTGACCACCCGATCCCCTTAGTCGCCTCTTACGACAAGCATGGATTACTGAAGACCAATTTTATCCTGGATCTTCACGGGTGGAATTATGTAAGGGCCGGTTGTCAGAATCTGACAGTAGCCCAGTGGTTAAAGCGTTCGCTCGTCACGCTGAAGACCCGGGTTCGAATCCCCCCAACATGGGTACAAAGTGTGACAGTCCCGGAATAGTACGAAAAGCGGCGTAAAACTAAACTCTCTCACTCACTGACTGTAGCCCGTCCCCGTTTCAGCATGACTGTTGTGACTCCCGTACTCATGAGTTTGTGTTCGCGTGTGCGTGTGCGTACGTGCGTGCGCGTGTGTGTGTGCTGGTGGGAGATGGATGGGAAAAGGTTGTGTGTGATAGTGCATGTGCGTAATACTAAAAACACTTTGTGGTAAGGGGTGGTGGGGTAGCCTTGTGGTTAAAGCGTTCGCTCGTCACACCGAAGGTCCGGGTTCGATTCCCAACATGGGTGCAATGTGTGAAGCCCATTTCTGGTGTCCTCCACCGTAATATTGCTGGATTATTGTTTAAAGCGGCGTAAAAGCATACTCATTCACTCACGTTGTGGCTAGGCACCCATTGCTGAACCCATACGCTTTTGTTACATGACCAATTACCTCTTATCACTTGCAGCTGTAGAATTCACCAATACACGTTCAGCATCCATTTCCAGTCTCATGTTTATAAACATATGCTCTGACATAAAGGTGAGGTGAGATGAATTGGGTTTAACGTCGTCCTTGAAAATATTTCGCTCATATGACGACGTGCATGCGTGTGTATGTGTATGTGCGGCTGCTTGTACTAGCCCAGACTTAAGCTGGTTTTATAGTGCTAGCCCACTGAGATACCATGCCGGAGTGAAGCATGAATACCCCACTCAGACACATTATACTGACTCCTAGCCGACCAGTCCTTGTTGTACCCATTAATGCCGAGCGCCAGGCAGGGACCAACAAGTACCATTTTTTAAAGTCTTTTGGTATGACGCGGCCGGGGATCGAACCCGCGACCTTCCGCTCTCCGGGCGGACGCTCTAACCACTACACCACGGAGGCTGTCTTCACACACAAAAGGTCAAATGGACTGGGAAAAAGTTAAAACGCCCTTTACACTCGTTTTGGCCTCATGCTGAATTCTCTAGTGCTAATGGTGAACGGTAAAATGAACAATTCCTCCGAAAATATATTTATACACCTTTCGATGTTCCATCTAGAGCGAGATATAAATACGTTTTCTACACAGACGTTTGATATTTCTGCATCCGAAGAAGGTCATGCTTAAAGGTTGATTAAATGTAATATTCAGTGACATTTG